GCATGAAGCAACCATTGAGAGTATCACAAGTAGACCAACCTCAAGCATTCTACCCAATTTACCTGTTTGGTGGAACTTTGTTCGGCAAAATAAGATACCGAAGCCCATTTTTCAATTGTCCCCGGTGCAACTTCGGATGAGAAGGAAGTTCACAACCAAGAAATGCTTCTAGCTCAGCACCATCTATCTCAGGAGGCAATAAGTCCAAATCTTGTCTCTCTGCGACGATGCCATCTGGCCAAGCTGTACCAGCAGCATGTGGCTCATCTGGTCCAACAGTTGCATTTAGAATCTGAGAATGTTTTCTCTGAAAATATAGAACATGTTAACTCAGTTAAACACATAGTTCAAACAAGGCGCAAGACTAGAACACAAAAAGGGAAAATAGTATAGCTTACGAACCAGAGAAGATATCAAACGAGACCTCGACAAACTAAATGAAGTTCTATCCACAAAGGCACTCGGTAATGATCTTTTAGTCCCGGGTTGCGTTCTTTTACAAGTAAGACAGAAATTCCGTCCCTGCGAAAGTGATATCCCACTTGCTTCTTTTCTGAAAATCGCGCTTCGTTGTCCCGAAACAATGTTCCTCTTCAAACGTCCCTTATTCGAAGTTGGCTGCGACCTTTGACACCACAAAATTCAACCAAATTTTAACAATCGATTTCAAAAGAATCACAATTAACTGAACTCAACAACTGAGAAGAAACAAGACTCAGTGGCTATAATTTCAATTTCCAGGAATTCGAAACAATAACAAAGATGTTGCTAATTTACTGATAAACATCTCCATCTCAAAATCTAAAGCTCTGCATAAAGACAACGACTAAGACGTACCAAAGACCATTATAAGGAATTAAAGACTGAGCTTCAACGCGAACACGATTGGGAGTGAGACGCGGCGACGTTGGATTAAACCTAACTTTATTCCGGCTATCTTTTAGATAACGAGAGCGGCGGCTATCTCCAGAGTTAAAAGGAGCTAAGATCGGAGAGAACTTAACACCGGTGAAAATGGAGGAGGACGATGAAGCCATCGTCGGCTATTGAGGACAAAGAGAGAAACTAAAGGTGGAGGAGAAAAAGAGAAACCCGAAACTAAATAATAAAGAAAAAAATAGAGGGAGATGAGGTAGCTACGTTTATTGTCTTCTCCTCCCTGATTTTTTTTTTTTCTTAACTCTTTCGTATATTCATGTTTCTTTCTTTTCGTTAATAAACCATATATTTTTATTATTCCAAAATCAAATCTTCTATTAGTACGAAAAGGTTTCTGAAGTTAAAATCTCAATATATTGGAAATATTTTCTTCGACCGTCACCGAGAAGATTTAACCGGTCGACCAGGTCGTGGAATAATGGCAAGTTTTATGGATATTTTGGGTTTCCCTAAGATTGGCGGATTTTAATATTACATTCGAACCGGAATATGTCTTGATTTTGGGTTAACCGACGTGAAAACAATATATATTATACATGCGACTTTGAACTAGGTTTGGGTAATCAAACAAGTTCAGATATCAGTTAATTTGGTTTGAACTAGGTTTTTTTTTCTTTTTGTTAAAATGGTTTGAACTAGGTTTGGGTAATCAAACAAAACTTCGGTTCAGATATGCTCAGCTATCAGTTAATTTGGTTTGGTTATTCAGCTAAAACACGTACAAAAATTTGATTGGTTGAAAGAAGGGTCGAAGGTTTTGGGCCTCTAGCTTTCGGTTCGGGTATGGATTTTAAGAGAATTTTTGTATAATTTCATGAAATTTTGTTTAACTTGGGTTAATAATCTCATACCTAACTGCACTTTTTGTTTAACTCATTTATTAAAACTTAAATTTCCATAATACAAAGATAGATAGAGCATTAACATTGGTTTCCAGAATACAAATATACAAAGATAAATTTCCGCGAACAAAATTGGTTTTCAAACCATTTAGACTGTTTTGTTTTTGGGCGTGACCATAATCCATCTGTAATGACTTTGACTTGACTAGCATATGAACAGACAAACCAATTGACATATACACAGAGAATTCACATCTTCGTTTTCAAGGTCTAAAAGTAAATTGGAACTCTGTTACAGGGTTTGTGAAACGAGAGTGATTAAGCAAAACTTGAAGAAGTCTGACTTTTGTAAGTCTATTCCACCAATGTCAAGGCCGCTCCAAATGAAGAAGCAAACTTCTCTTAAAGTATCTGAAAACCCTAAAAATTGTCCAACCTTGAAGAAGAACTTGACTGAGCTGTTGGAACTGTTTGAAATAGCTAGGAAATCAGCTGATGTTGCCAATGCAAAGGGACTTATAGCGGCTGAAGTAGAGACATCAATCTGCGTAGACACTCTCTCCTTACTCATAGAACTCCCCAATAGCTCAACAATTACTGAAACAAGGCAGATCATGATGAGGCTTGAGTATCTTACAAAATACAAAATCATAAAATTTTGCAATTTTGCATCAACACTTCTTCATTGTTGGAGGCAGCGCACCAGATATCAACAACACTGAGATGTTTGTAAACCTGAAGGATATTGTCAACAGAGAATTTGCAAAAGACAAACGGACAGATATTAGTAGGCTTGTGACAAGTGAATTTTGGTTGTTTATTCTTTTGGTAAATTAGAGAAGTATAGGCACCATTGAAATTCCATTACTCAAAAAACTAACAATGTTGTGAATTGTAAATATCTAGAAGGATTTTCACAATTTCTCTCTCTCTTGTTTCAAGTGGAGTGTGCTTTTAATTTTTGTTTATGTGAATTCATGAAAATGGAGTTTGATTTGTACATTTGTTGTACTGAAAAGACAATAAGTCAATACTATGTTTTTCTTCCATAAGACTAGAAATATTTTTAAAAAAACCCGTTATATTATGATTTATATGTAACTCTAGGAAATTTCGACATGTATATTGATACCCTTGTTCTAAAAATCGGGCGCCTAGCCGCCTAGGCGCCCGACTAGTCGCTCATCGGACCTTTACCGAGGCGATTTTGATCAAATCGCTCAGAAAATCGGTAACCGATTTATCAGCCGCGTAATCGCTTAAGTTGTTTGAACCGATTTTTTTTAAAAAAGAATTTTGATGGGCTAAACGGCCAAAGATTATACAAAGCCCAGACTTTTAACCGTTTGAGGAAACTGTAGCTAGGGTACTTTACTTATAGCAGTGTCACTAGTTCTCACTTTCTCTCCCACCCGATGTGGGGGACTCTTTAACATACATGCCTTCATAGCTTTTCTTTTTTTTAAAAAATATATTTTATTACTGTTCTTTTATGGTATATACGTGACAGCCGTAAATTATTTATTTGACCTCATCTAATTTAGACCCCTACTTCGGCTCATATTAAAATTAATTCTATCCGTGTCCTGGATTATAACAGAAGCTAAGTATGTTTCATATATATGATTTTATCTCTAATTTCCTAAAATCATCTTTTACACCAAATATTATTCTTTCGAAAACAAAAATATTTAAATTGTTATACATCATGAATAAACTTTTGTATTAACTGTGAAAAACTGTTATAGTAGACTATTTTGTATCAATAATATGAATGTTATATACACAAATAGTTTGTTCATGATCTATTTTGCTGAAATTTATTTTGTCAGTTGAAATTTATTTGAACATATATATATAAGAATATATTTATGTCTAACATTACATTAAATTAAATTATATATATAAGATATTTGAGAAAAATATTTAATTAATTAAATAATACATAAAACTAATTCCGATTAAATCCCGTATAATCTCCGATTTTTCCGCTAGGCGCTAGGCCCATCCTCGCCGCCCGACTAGCGCCTAGCGATTTTTTGAACATGGATTGATACTATGTAAATATGTGTTGTACTAGTCATTTTATCATGTTTTCCTTTTTAAGAAATAAAAGGATAAATATATTTAAGTTACAAAAATGAAAAATATTTTTTAAAAATAAAATAAGGAACTTTTACTTCTGTTTTGAATATATGAACATTTTTAATAGAATTAGTTTAATACATTTGCTGATAGGGTTAGGAAATTTTCTATTTCTTAAAAATTATATTAACAAAATTAGATTTGACACGTGTTGATATCTCATTAATAAACTTAATACGTGTCGATATCTCATTAGTAAATTTGACACGTATCGCGATCACGTGAGTTAGCAACTTTGAAAACTAAAATAAGATACAAAACGTACATTAACAGCATTCAAAATCTACGAGCTTATGAAAATTAGGGTTACATAATCAGCTTTTTAGATTTGATGAATTTTCTAATTGAAAAAGTTATGAGCAGCTGGGATAATTTCTTAAATTTGGTTTGACACTAAAAGAAATAACAAGTTGTGTTGAATCCAATTACAAGATACCATAAAATGAATACATTGTTTAGATTTTGAGTATTGAAATAGGAAAACTAAAAAATTCGTGTATCTTTTGGATGTGAAAAAATTAGTATATTTTGTAGTATCAAAAAAAAAAAGAAACTCGTGGTGTATTTATATAGAATTTTGAGATGATTTCTAGGAAAGAAAATAATATGTACAAAAATTTATACAACTTTTGTATTTTGTCAAGCCCTCAGCTTCATATGATATACAGTATAGCGTTTGGACGGTAATACATACGAAACTTCAACAACTTAAAAAAAAATCAAAACAATTGAGAATTAAATTAAAACACGTGTCCACACATCATATACTCAATCAAAAGTCAAGTAAACAAGTTGCTAAAATCTTCCAAGTCGTTCATATGACATCACAATATGTGGGAGAAGCTTCATCACATTTTTAAGAAAATACCATTAGTCGTTATCAACTTGACCTTTCCCCACGAGCACTCAATTACGGAGGAAACTTCCCGGCCACCACCGCGCAACCGCCTCTAACTTTAAATAATAACCCCAAAATATTCAAACCCGTGTTGTAACCGTCGAACAATCAAGAATCTCCACATTTATACACGCATTCACATCCTCATCTATATATAATCTAACACATCTTGAAAAGAATTTGCATCAGAAATCCATTTTCGACATCTTCGAGATTTATATTCAAATCAAGAAATTATGACTCTCGCTAAGAACCAAAAATCACCATTGTCACGACTATACAAGAAGGTTTCCAAGAAGAGATCAGAATCGTCAAGAAATCTTGAAGACGAAGCAAGAACCAGCAGCAGTAGCAGTAACGGAAGCAGCTCATTAAACGTCGACGAGCTAAGAACCGTATTTGACTACATGGATGCAAACTCCGACGGGAAAATCTCCGGTGAAGAGCTACAAAGCTGCGTTAGTCTCTTAGGCGGCGCGTTATCGTCACGTGAGGCAGAGGAGGTGGTGAAGATATCAGACGTTGATGGAGACGGGTTTATAGATTTTGGTGAGTTTTTGAAGCTTATGGAAGGAGAAGACGGTAATGATGAAGAAAGGAGGAAGGAGCTGAGAGTGGCGTTTGGGATGTATGTGATGGAGGGGGAAGAGTTTATTACGGCGGCGAGTTTACGGAGGACATTGAGTCGACTCGGCGAGTCGTGTACGGTTGATGCTTGTAAGGTTATGATTCGTGGGTTTGATCAGAATGACGATGGAGTTCTCAGCTTTGACGAGTTTGTTTTGATGATGCGTTGAGATGATGATATATGGGATTTGGGTACATTTTCCTTTTATCTTCAGATTCTATTCATTTAATTATTTTTTTGTGAGATTCTTATTCCTTTGTATATTTGTGTCTATCTGAAACATTTGTATTTAACACACTTTATAATAAATATTTTTTTGTAGTTTCACTTTTCTTATAACTATTTTGATTTGTTTTTTTAACTTCAAACATACATAATGTTTATCCACCCTCCCATAATTGAAGATACCTAGGATCGATAACGATTGTTACTTTTGGTTAGGCCTGGGCACAAATATGGATCCACATAGAACCGAACCGAATCGAACCGAAATTGATGGGTTCGGTTCGGTTCCGGTTCTAGTGAAAATATCGATTGGATCTTGAATCAAAGATCCATGGGTATCGGTTCGGTTCGGGTAGGAACCGATATCCATTCGGGTACCTAAAAAATTTAGCCCATTAACCTATATTTATATAACCCAAAGTCTCAAACCCATCTAGACCTAAACCTAACTACCCAAGCCCAACAACCTACCATTATCTCTCTTAGCCTCTTATATATATTTCTCTGAAACCTTAAGAGAAACTCTAGTTTGTTCTCTCTTTCTCAAAGAAGGAGACGCCGCAGACAACAACTCTCTCTTTCGAACCATTGCAAATCGATGACAAAGCTTCTTTTGGTGTTTTTAAAACTTGTGTTTTTTGGTATTTTTGAAACTTTGAGTGTCTTTTGACTTAATACTTTCCAAGTTTCAACTATTTTTTGAATTTGTAATGGTATGATGACTAATATGTGATGTTGCATTGCATACTTGCATAATTGCATTTGAATTTTGCAATATGATTTTATTGTTTTTTCGGTTCCAAAAATATCCGAAACAATTTGGTTCCTACTCGGTTCCAAAATTTATTATCCGAACCGAACCGAACCGAATAGGAACCGAACCGAATAGGAACCGAACCAGAACCGAACCGATTTTGATTTGGTTCCAATATGGTTCCTAAATCTCAGAACCAAAATACCTGGAACCGAATGGTTCGGTTCTAGAACCGAACCGAATATCCAAACGCCCAGGCCTACTTTTGGTTGTAAAGACTATGAGGCCGATTGACAAGGGCTGTTAACTTTGGCTGTAGAGGCTTTGACTCTAAAATTTTCTGCTGTAAAAACTTTGGTTGTAGAGACTTTGACTCTAAAGACTTTGGCTGTTAAAATCTGATTAGTAAATAAAAGCTGTAGAAGCTGTTACTGTCAATTTATATTATATATATCTATATTTTTTTTCATCGTTATTATATACATTTTTTATAAATATAAATTATGATAAAATTGAATTATGTTGTAACATAGTGACAAAAATAAATTTTATTAATAATGAAAAACTGTTTTTAATGATTCTTGAATGATTTTTGAGCGATTAATATGGCTAATAAAAAAAAAATTTGTAATTGCTTTGAATGTTTTTTTTTGTCAGCAGTTGTATAATTTTGAGTAATCAAAAATCAATAGAACTATTAATGATGATGTAATTAATGAAATAATTGAATTATTTATATGAATATTAATGGTGATGATGAAAATAAAATAACTATTTGTAAAATAGATCTTAAAAGAAAGATAGAAAATTGATAATAATTAATTTATCAAAAACGATTTGTGAAAAATATTTATGTAAACTTGTAAAGAGTTTTTAATTATTATGGGGTGAAGAAAAAAAGAAAGTTTTTAATTTTTATTTGTTTGAAAGCCATGTAATGAAGACTTTAGAAAAAGAAGGAAAACAAAGAAGGAAAAAAAAGGCTTGAAAACTTGAAAAAAAATTAAAGTCATAAAAATACTCTTAAAGCCTTTGAGAACATGATTGGCAAAAAACAAACTGTAAGAGCATCTCTAATAGATGCTTTATTGGGTTCTCTGATCAGGTTCTCTTGAAAAAAATGTTGAAAAATAAATCAAAACTCTGAATTATGAAGAGAGACAGCTCTTTTGAGAGAAATCTTGAGTAGCATGAAAGACGATGACGTGGCGTCTTCTCAACCGTCGATTTTTTTGGTCAAAACAAAAAACAAACGTGTCAAAAAAAAAAGCCAAAAGCCAAACACTCTTTTTCTTTCCCGACTCTTTCTCTCTATTTCTTTGCGAGCGATGGCGATTACTCTTAAAGCCTTGAAAGTCTTAAAATACTCTTAAAGCCTTGAAAGTCCATTGCCACAAATTTTTTTACGAATACGCTTTTTCTTGAATATATTAAAAATTTGTGAGTTTAGAAATGATAACTTTAAATAATATAAATGATTAGATTATAACGTTTCTGATTATAATGATTAAATATTAAAAATATTTTAAAGAGATTATTTTCTCTTATGTTTAAAGTATTATGTACTAATACAATAAGAAAATAAATGATTAAAAATAGGAGAAAAAATTGTCTACAACTATTAAAGCAGAAAAAAATATGTTGTAGAAGTTTTAAAAGTTACAGCAAAAAAACTTAAAAAAAAAGTTGTTTTGGGCTGTAAAACTTTTTTAGGAAAGCTAAAGCTTTATTGGTTCAGTATTAGGGCTTTAAGTTTTTTTTTGAGTTGTACCATAAAGATACATCCCAACCAATCACATTCTAAATATCCTTAAATCATGTAAATTAATTTTTTTTCTTTTTTAAACTAAATTATTACTATTATGTGAGTTAAACTTAAGATATTAGTAACTTGTCCTAAACGTCTTACTCGAATATTATTATACTTAATTCTCATTCATCTTCGATACTATTGAGTTTTTCCATCACAATCTTTATTTATGCATCTCAACATATTATGTATTTTGTTGACATTTCTATTTTTTACAGTTATCTTTAAAAAAAATCGACAAAATATACGAAAAAACATATTTGAACGGATCCCTATTTAAAAAAAACTGTTATATTCTGAATTACATGTAACTGTATGTTGGGGTCGGATCCCACACATTTTCGGTAGGATCCACTTGGATCTGTCCACGTCATTATTACATAATAATCTTCTCGGATTTCTGGATACTTTATTGGACTTGACCAGTTGGGAGTTCGATTCAGCTTACTAAAAGGGTTCGATCTTTACCAGTATGGGGTTCGCTCTTATTCAACATACAGTTCGCATAGAGAAAGGCCGAAGCGAGGAGAATGTTGTTCGAGGCTCGCGGTAGCATCAAAGCACGGGAGTTCGGAGTCAGCAAGAAAGAGTTCGGAAGGCCCACGTGAAGCCCAAGACAGTTCAAGTTCAAGCCGTTTCGGTCAAAATTTTAACTTACATGATTAATGCGGATCAATATAATTATGTACAGTGAATGACCCCATTAATCATGTTTTCTCTATAAAAACAACCTCAAACGCATGTGTTTGGGGGAGACAATCTTTTTACTGACTACTACCAAGCAATACAACATACTTTTTTCTTTTACAATTTCGCAAGGCCTTTGTACTTCGTTCTTATCAAATTCCTTTATTTATTTCTTTTCTTGGTTAATTTCCCTTTCGAATTCTCATATTCATTCGTTGATTCTAATCTCCACTAAAATACCTAAAGACAATCGAGTGTGAATCCTAGATCCACATTTTGGCGCCGTCTGTGGGGAGTTACCACAAAACTCTTTAATCTCAAAATCCTTCTTTCCCAACCAAGAAACTATGGCTGAGCAGCAAGCTTTGAGCGATGCAATTACCTTGCTTAATCAGACAACCACTAGTCTGACCACTCAGATTGGTACACTCGTTGATGCCAACACCACTTTTAGTGAAAGGTTGAACTCAATCGAGCAAACTTTGACGAGTGTTCAAACCACTCAGGCAGATTTGTCAAACGCGCAGAACGTTGTTTCAAGCCGTTTAGATACTTTGCCTTCAGTAGCAGCGCATCAGCGTAGGCTATTCGTAACTCCCGCACAAAACAGGACCGGGAATACTCAAACTCCTCCTGCAGGCCAACCTGCTAGTACTAGCAATCAGGCAGCCGTAGGGGATGGGACTAACCTAACCGGGGAAGGAATCCTGCTATTGACGACGGATTCCTTATCGAAAATCCCGATGTCACCTTTTCAGATGATTTGTCAAAGTTCGTCAAGAGCTTGATGAAATGAAGTCAAAGTTTCATCAGGCGACCAGTTCGGCGCCTGAGATCGATCGAGTAATCGAAGAAACTCGGCGAACACCGTTCACCTCGAGAATTTCAAACCTTCGGATCAAGGATTCTCGAAAGGTCAAATTACCAACTTATGATGTAAAGGAGATCCTAAAAATCACCTCGCTGCTTTTCAGATCGAGGACCAGACGAGGAAGATGCCGGATATTGCAAACTATTCTCCGAGAATCTATCCGGATCGGCTCTACTATAGTTCACTCAGTTGGAGCCTAGAACTATTGATAGTTTTAAGGAATTGTCATCTGCATTCCTAAAACAGTATTCCATGTTCATGGAAAAGGCAACCTCTGAGGCGGATCTTTGGAATTTAACCCAAGGTCAGAATGAACCACTTCGCAAATATATCGCTAAATTCAAAGTGATAGCCAAAATTCCTGGGGTATCGCACGCTGCTGCCCTTTCTGCTTTAAGGAACGGATTCTGGCATGAATCCCGATTTCGGGAAGAAATCATCGTCAATCGTCCAAGCACCATCCAAGATGCTTTATTCAGAGCTACTAATTGGATGGAGGCAGAAGAAGAAAAGCTTAGCCTCGCTAAAAAGCATCGGCCAGCAAAATTGGTCGTTGGAAATCCAACTAAAAAGTTCGAACCAAAAGATCAAAAACGGTTCGGAGTTAATCCTGCAACTAATGCTGTAGGAAAACCCTCCCCAAGCAGAGGAAGATACAATCCTCCTAATACTTGGGTTAGAGATGAGAGTGCCTATTGCGATATTCACAGAGTAAACGGGCACTCCACCAAAGATTATAGCGTACTCAAAAAGCACCTCACCGAACTGTGGGCAGCTGGAGAGCTCGCTAATTTCAATATCGAGGAATTTGTGGAATCTTTTCACAAAGAAAAAGAAGATTCCGAAGCTTCTAATCCTCCTGAAAAGAAACATAAGCCCAATGGGCCCGGAACTCCGAACACTCCTAAGAAAAGGATCGATGTTATAATGGGAGGATCCAAATTATGCCGAGATTCGATCAGATCAATCAAAAGGC